TCAACTCTGCGAAGAATTAAAACCTAACTGACAGAATGACGGAAGACAGACTAGTCGGATTTGTACTACTAAATGTATACAAAGACATTCTAGTAAATCCTGAAAACGTAATTGAACGTTTTGCCTATTCGGGAAATCATAAACTAGATTTTGTGATATAAATTGTTTTACATTTACTAGATTACTACTACACTAGTCTAACAAACTAAACTCTGCAGCATTTAAATAAATTGTATATCAATAATTTTTAATTATAATTTTTAATAAAGAGCTGGAAAAAATTAAAACTACTATTGTAGGAGAGGGGGGGGGGGCAATCACCCTCATCGCCCCCCTATGGATCTGCCACTGTACACTTTTAGACCTGCACAAAAGTTTGCTGTAAAAAACCTAAACATTAAAGTTTCATGTGCTACATTTTGTGCTTGTAGACCATTTTGAGTGGTAATTGACAGAGATACGTGCCTCTGCAAGTTGCATGAAAATGGACGACTTATTATTAATAAGCTTGCTCAGCTGAAGATCTTGCCGTCAAATCGTATGACTGTTGGTAACTGTGTAAAAAAAATAGTATGCAATAATTTGCAAAAACGAGTGCTTATTGAGAATCTGTTAAACATGTTGCTTAAAAGATAAAGAATTACTAGAAAGAGAGTTTGGTGGAGAACAACCATGCAAATGGCAGAAATGGAACACAATTCAGGAAAACAGACTGATCAAACATAAGAACACAATAGTAAAGAGAACTATAAAACAGGAGATTAACGGGTCTATTAGAGAGCTTGTAGGAGCATATTTGGAAATTATATACATTTTTGGAGTGATGGGCCAACAATACAATATTGCAACAAGCATCATATGTTGTTAATAAAACTAAGCAAATATTTGACTATAATAATAACATACTAACTTCAGCTTCAAATTTTGTAGAAGCTTTACACCAGAAGACTGTTACCAAGCTATTTGTACTCAGAGAAGAAGATATTGGTGCTATAGCTAAAATGATCCCTGAAGGATTGAAACCTATTGCAGGAACAATGAAACTACATCAATTGCAATTCGTTGAGAAGAGAACTGTTTCTGTTTGTAATTTGTCATGCTTTTGCCAGATCCGAACACATGTAATTGCCATGAAGCACGGATGGTTCAGTTTGGTCTGCTGAAAGTCGTTGCAGAAAATGAAAATAAACATGTTGCTGAGATTGAATCCGATCTGCTCAATACAGTAACAGGTATTGTACAACTAGTTGCTTGTGGGCAATCTCAAATTATTAGTCAGTCACACAATCTGATAAATAATTATGGTGCTTCAAATGTTGAACAACATCCAATGAGAGCTGAACTTATTATGCTTAAAGTGCACGACTGGTGTATTGTTCAATACAATAATAAGCGTTACATTCGGCAGATACTTGACAAAGATCCAGTTTTAGCTGAATCTGAAGTATCTACATTACAAATGACAGGAATGAACAAATCCATCAAATATCCAACTCGTGAAGACAAAATATGGTATAAATGGGATCAAATAATCAAAAAAGCTTTATCATTAGTTGTAGTTTCTAGACGTGCAATGGCACTTAATTTTTTAAAATTTACTTATATCTAAATCACTGTTTGAGTCATTTGAAAATAAACTTAACTTATCAAATAGCAGTCATTTATAGCTGGTCATGGTATTTACTTGAATTTCGTATGTAAAGTTTTTGATAATTGTCATGAAAATAATGGCTGCTGACAACAAATAGTACAGTATTAAAAAAATAAATGTATTTTTTTAATAAATTGGTACCTTTGTCAACTAATTAAACGTATTTTTTATAATAACCTACTGCATATATAAAGTAGTGATTTCGATAAAGTCCATCATTTAATATTTTTATGTCATGTACCTAACGCACTGTCATGTACGTAACGCGATTAAAATTTTAGTTTTAAAAGTAAATGAAATTAAGTTTTGTTAGTTATTTGTACACACGTAGAAGTTAGTTAAAAACAAAACTTCTGCTAAAGTTTTATGCAGTTTATCTTTAGTGAAAGTAGTCTTTTGAAAACGCGCCTAATTTTGGAAATACTCATATATATTAACTCTTTAAATATTAACTCTTTTAGCGCCTCGTTAAATTCTCGAATAACTAGCAAAACAGGAAAACAATAAAATTTATAAATAATTCTTTTTAAATAAGTCAAAATTACTTATCATATATTACATTTATATAAACATGTAAAAGATCGTTAGAATGATTATTTTTTTTCCTATATAGGCTAATAACCAGATTTTCAACACTTATTTTATTAAAAGATACTAATAAATCTTGCACTGAAATTTTCAACAACAGTAAAAGTTTTACTTTTCTAAATTTTATAAAGTTTAAAACCTTATATGGATACATAAACATACAAATTTAAGCAAAATAAAAACCTGAATATATAAGCTTTCCATTAATATATAATGAGACAAGATTTTGACAATAAAATAACAACTTTTAACTGTTTAAACTAAATTCTTTTTTTTTGTTTAACTTAGCTAAACTTTATAAACAACTTTGAAGCATTCTTTAGGATGAAGGTATATATTGCATGTACTACACTTGAAATTTGTCCTTATTCTTTTTATTGGAGTACTACAAGCAACACAATTTCGATCATTTGCATGCCATTCCACAATATGTATGCCCTGATTTGTTGTAGTCATCGTTTCATTAGGTTTCTGTATTTTATGAAACTTGTGGTCTAAGAAAAACTTTATCAGCCTCAATGATAAGTTCCTTATAAGCATCTTTTTAAATTTTAAAAGGGATTTGTGATTTAGTACCACCATATTTAAGCAATAATGTATGTATGCATTACATTGAGAAAGTAATAATCTAGAGCAGTAGAGTCAACATTTATCTGCATGAACCCCTGGAGTTCTTTTAGGAATGAACTGATGCTCATATACTTTTCTATCATTATTAGAGTAAACTTCATACCACTTATCTAGATTTTCTTGATCTTTATTATTATCTGCTTTCCTTTTTTTCGCAACAGAAACTTGATTGGATGCTGTAGTATTATCTGAAAATAAATTTTATATAAATACTTTATAAAATGTAATATTAGTATTATAGATATAGACTGTAAATAAATTTTTTCTAACTTTTTTTTTCACTTAATTTTTCAAGTTAATAATGTTCACTAGCTTTATCATTAGATTCATAATCCTCGGTGTCCTCACTTTCACTAAAATCTTTATCAGAATCACAAACTGCATTATCTTTCTCAAGCCAATTAATAATATTTTTCATAGCAACCTCATTTGACATACGGCTTCAAATTAGACAACTTTTTTTTAATGACGAACTTGCCATTTAAAAATCCTTGAAAATTAAATCAATAAATTTGGAAACAAAGCTTCTTTAAAGGTAAAACTAATCAAATTAGGTAATTTATTAAACATATGCTAGAATTAGTGGAAATGTTTACCTTGTTGAACCAAAAAATAGTTTTAATGATTATTTTTCTGAAAACCGTTACCATCAAATTGCCCAAGAATAAAACAAAAAGCCGAGCCGGCGACACCGGCTTGCAGCGTTGAATAAGTTAAAAAGTTTGACTTGCATTTTGTGCAATTTTTTGCTGCAGCTGTTTATTTTAACACACTTTTGTAAAATTTATTTTTAACTACAAAAAAAAAAGTGTGGGAAAAATCGACAATTCATTGCTATAAAAACGAGCAATTTTTATCAGCAACTTCATTTGACATACGGCTTTTAAAAAGTAAAATTAAAAAATGGTACAATATTAAGTAATATTATTTATTAAATTTGACAGTTAATTTAAACCAAATTATTTTTTAAAATCAAAATTTGATCATATATATTTTTTAAATCAAAAGTAAATTATATATATTTTTTGATGATAAAGTTAAATAGTTTTAATAGTTTTTTAATTTATTAAAACTAAATTATATTTTTTTGATCTTTGCTTAAAGGTTAAAATATTTTGCGTTTTTCAAGCAAAAAAATCAATTGTTACAATAAAATAAAAATTATTTAAAATATAAATAAAGGTAAAACAAAGTTTAATTTTGAATTTATTATTCAGGGCCAATGGAATCAATATAATATTAGGGAGGGGGAGGAAGTTTTACTTTGATGATTTTTTAAGGACCTCAACTTGACCGTGCCAGGGAAATTTGCCCGTTGCTACGGGACTGTTATTAATTAATTTTTTATTTTTAAACAAAATTTTATAAAAAATTTTTCTTAATGCAATCTAAAGGAGTATAAGTATTCTTGCTCTCGCAAAATGAAAAATAAAAATTTTTAATATTTAAGTTTCTTATAAGGTTTCTTTTTACGTTTCGTTTAATAACTATACAAAAATCAATTTGTCGTTAACAACTAACAACTTTGTTTTCTGTTACTAATTATTTTGATAAAATAATTAATTTAATTGAGATTAAGTTTTCGTTTTTAACTTAATTTAATTTTTTTTTTTCAGTATATGGCGCTTATATTCGACATAATTTCCATTGAAACTTTTGAAACAGACTTTTTTATATTGTTATTAAAAATTAATGTTCTTTTTTATAAAATAATTGATTCTTTTATTATACCGCTTATAGAATAACATAAAAGTTAAAAAAAAAATAATAGTAATAAAAATAGTAATAAAAAGTCGCGTAATGAAAATTGCCCTAGGCATGCAAAAAATTGCTAAACGCTTTTGTAAATTACCAGAAGCATAACGCTTTTAAACAAGGCTTGGCTATTATAAGCACTTCTACGTTTTTTTAAAAGCCTCTGTGTTTTATGAAAAAAATTCCCTAATATCTCATTGAGTCATTAGTAGCAATTCCTAAAAATAGTTTATTTGCACAAATTTTAGATTCAGCAAAAATATTTATGAAAATATTCAATTTTTTGCTTAAGCTGATCATTATACACTGATCAACCTTTTATATAATATTATATATTAGAAAAGTTCATATTATTTTAAAATATTTATTTTTCAAGATAAAAACGAATGCACAACCTCAAATCCATGTTATTGGAATAATAGCATATGTGAAAACTCTATGGGAAGTTATTTGTGTCTATGTGCAAATGGATGGGTTATGGGCAATGATAACGCTAGCTGTGTTGGTGAGATGTTTAGAAATATATAAACAATTTAATAGTTTTTACATGATAAAAGTATGCGCTTGTTGTGTTGATAAGTTGTATAAAGGTATGTTTATAACTTTTGTGCTGATAACACATAGACATTTGTTCTTCACTAATCTCAAATTTGAATTTTTCATATCGATTTTATAGATCAAGCTTGCCACTGTATCCATATAGTGTAGTCGAAAGAGTGTTTTAATGTAAAAAAAGTCTCTTACGGCTACAATTTTATTTACCTCGTCTCTTAAGCTGTATTTGATTGTCGTCGAGTTGTCAAAGCAATTAAATTAATGCGGAAGTACATTAAATTTTTTTTTAAAAAACCGCAATTATAACGACTAGAAAGTTTTTTTTTATTAGTGATGTTTTTGTTTTTATTTTATTAAAAAACATTTTTAAAACATGCGTAAATGTTGCTACATCGACTATCTTATAGCCTGACTCGCAACGGAGTGCTGCTACATCGACTGACAAATAGCCTGACTCGCAACGGAGTGCTGCTACATCGACTGACAAAAAGCCTGACTCGCAACAGAGTGCTGCTACATCGACTCACAAATAGCCTGACTCGCAAGGGAGTGCTGCTACATCGACTGAGGGTTTGGTTTAGGCAGTCTATCATTTAAAAAAAAAAAAAAAAATTAAGTTTTTAAACTTTTTCTGATCTGGTTTATTAACGCGCTCTTTAAAACTACAGTTTATGGGAAACTCTTTTCAACTACCATGCAAGAGTATATATATATATATATATATATATATATATATATATATATATATATATATATATATATATATATATATATATATATATATATATATATATATATATATATATATATATATATATATAATATATATAAATATATATATACATATATATTTATGTATATATATATATATATATATATATATATATATATATATTCATATATTTATATATATATATATTTAATATTATATATATATATATATATATATATATATATTTATATATATGTATATATATATATATATATATATATATATATATATATATTATATATATATATATATATATATATATATATATATATATATATTTATTTATATATATGTATATATATATATATATATATATATATATATATATATATATATATATATATATATATATATATATATATATATATATATATATGTATATATATATATGTATATATATATATATATATATATATATATGTATATATATATATATATATATATATATATATATATATATATATATATATATATATATATATATATATATATATATATATATATATATATATATATATATATACATATATATATATATATATATATACATATATATATATATATATATATATATATATATATATATATATATATATATATATATATATATATATATATAATATATATATATATATATATATATATATATATATATATATATATATATATATATATATAACACAGTATCGGACAAGACAAGTGCAATCAAATAATGCTAATTTAGTTTTTTTATATAAAAGTACTGCATTTTTTCAATTAAGAGAAATAACTACGTAGCTGTTTAGAAACAACGTTTTTTCAAGTTTTATTCATCACAAAGTTCACTATTTGTACACAAAAATTAATAAATTAATCAAAAGTATTAAAAAAAGTTGATTTCGTTCTGGTTAAAACAAGTGCAACTCCACAAAATGTTGACCAAACTGTATTTTGCTATCATTATTTTGTAGCAAGTCCTTTGTTTTCGATCATAGCCTTGCATCTTCGAAGCATAGATTCGATCAGGTGACCAATGAAACTTTATGGAATCGCTGCCTAAGCCTTTTGGATTTGTTTAAACAGTTGATCCTTATTAAGAACACCTTCACAATCTCCCACAGGTTCTCGATTGGGTTGAGATCCGGATATTGAGGCGGCTAATCCATCAACGATAGGTGCTTGTTTTGAAACCACTACTTGACTACTTTTGCAGTCTGTTTCGGTTTGTTGTTTTGCTGAAAAACCCATTTGATTGGCATATTCCATTTAGCATGATGCAAAAACATCTTTCAGGATATTTTTATACATGAAACGGTCCATTTTTCCACCAACTTATAGTATTGGACCTACACCGTTAGCAGAAAAACACCCCCAGACCAGTACATTTCCTCCACCATGCTTCACGGTCTTATGATAGTAACGTAAATCGAGGCAATTTTCGGCCGGTCGACGTACATGGTGAATGCGATCGCTCACAATGGTGTTGAACTTCGATTCATCACTGAACAAGACAGTTCGCTATTTCTTCACATTCTAGTCAATATGAGATGTAGCAAACAGGAGTCTCTTCTTCTGGTTCCATGGTAAAATCAGCGGTTTCTTTGCATGACGTTGAGAAAACAATCCGACTACAACAGCACGTTGTCTGATTGTTCGGTCCGATACAGGCAGCTCTAATTGCTTTTGTATCTCAACTGATGATATCCAGGTTTCCTTCTTGACGGATCTGACGACCATAGAATCCTCTCTAGAAGTGGTGGAACGCGGTATTTTACCTTTTGCTATCTTCTGCCATTTTCCCCGTAGAACGATATTTGGTACATAGTCTTGATAGGGTCCATTTTTTTACGCGATATTTATCACAAATACTTTTTTGTGACATTCCACTTACGTAAACGCCAGTAATTTTTTTTTCTTAGTTCCATTCAAGACTGTCGGGAGCCATTTTTACACTTGAAGTTATAAAAATAATAAAAATAAATAATCATGCTTCTCAAAGCTAACCGTGTTACATTTACCTTTTGATGATACTTTAATGCTCTGTGGAACACAACGTCTTGGTTAGATGTGGACTGTTTTGATGTAATAAAACACTTGCTGTATTTTACTTCTTGTATTAATGTTCATTGATAAAACACTTTGCTAAAACTCACTTCAATAAACTGTCTTAATAATACTGATTTATTGACTTCCATATACTGACTGATTTACATGTCAGTTTACATGTCTCTTATATAGTAAAATGAACCTGTGTGAATCTGTTCTGTAAGATTGTAGATGCTGCTTCTAGAAGCTTATGGGTGCGTCTGGATGTTTCTGAATGTTGATGATTACTTCTGGATGCTTCTGCATGTTTCTGCATTCTTCTGGAAACTTTTGGAAACTTCTGGATACTTCCTTTAATTATTATAAAACTTCCGTGACGTTGACACGGACCAGACTTAAAAAAATGAAACAAACAAAAAAGTTGCACTTGTTTTGTCCGCTGCAAAATGGCACTTGTCAACGAAATTCTTCCTGTGTGCTGTCACCTGTCAGCTGATTGCTCATGTTATAGCTATGTCATGCTATGACTCTAGACTCGTGAACCGTTTGCTGTGGTAGTATAGTTCGTTATATATATATATATATATATATATATATATATATATATATATATATATATATATATATATATATATATATATATATATATATATATATATATATATATATATATATATATATAAATATATATATATATATATATATATATAAATATATATATACATAAATATAAATATATATATATATATATATATATATATATATATATATATATATATATATATATATATATATATATATATATATATATATATATATATATATATATATATATATATGTTTATATATATATATATATATATATATATATATATATATATATATATATATATATATATAATAAATATATATATATATATATATATATATATATATATATATATATATATATATATATATATATATATATATATATATATATATATATATATATATATATATATATATATATATATATATATATATATGCTGAGTTAGGTGGGCATGATGATGTCATACTCACCTAACGTCAAATAGCCTGCTGCCGGTGACTTCAGTACATAAATCGACTGACAAATAGCCTGACTCGCAGTGGAGTGCTGATACATCAACTGAGGGTTTGGTATGGGTCGGGAACCTTTTCATTCATTATTTTTCGTTTTCCCTCATCGTTTTCTAAAAACCCTCACTTAATTTAGGATAGCAAAAAAAGCGAGCAATTGCGCATATAAATATGCTATAGTAGTCGCAATTTGTGTTTGTGAACTATAAATTTTCAAAATAAAAGATCAAAAGAATTTTAAAACATTACATAGTTTAACATTGTTTGTAAAATACTTTTCGCCTAACATTCCTTGACAAGCATGTTTAACACTTTTGGAAAACTAACTTTTAAATAGCTGACGATGATAGAAAGACATTTTTATTTATATAAACTACATCAAATGTTTGACCTGACAACTTTTCAAAACAAAAAAAAAATTTAAAATCTAATATCCAGGTCAAACGAAATTGATAAATAAATACCCGCTTAACACTAGAAACAACTGTTAAAACCTTAGCATCAATAAAATTATTTTAAAGAGCACAAGCTTTCATTCGAGTACCGTTGCTTTTTAAGTTTTAATAAATATTTAAATAGCATTATTACACCACTAATTTTAATATTTAAACAATTAGGTCGCACAACTTCAGAAACAAAGTTGTATAAAAATTGAGTAAGAGAGTTACTTCTTTTATTAGAGCATCCATCTCAACACAATTAGTACTTTGCACAATGCATTGATTCTCGTTAAACTTTCAAGCACATGCTCATTGATTGACAGTAAATTCACATTAGTGAGTATTAAAATAACTTGTTTAGTATAATCATCTTTTCGTCTTCAAATATCTCATGATTTAATCCGAATGAGTCCATTTCTCTATTAATGCACTGATTTGGTGTTTTAAAGCATTCTTCAAAGAATCTTTCTTTTGACAGATATTATTCTACTACTGTGTTTTATTAGTCATTGTGAAAACTCTCTTTCCCCATCATATACTTTCATTTTTCAATTTTCATTGTGAAAACTCTCCTTCCCCATCATATACTCTCATTTTTCAGTTTTCATTGT